ACGGTAGAATATTGTTTCAACAATATTTGAAACATTGAATTTTCCTTTATTGATTGATACCATTTCAACTATATCACGCGGAAGATATCGTATAGGTACCTATTGTTTCCAACAACTATAACCAATATCGCAATTCAAACATTCTCCCCATGTCGATTCTGAAGCGGTTAAACAATATCGTGTAATCGAGTTCGACGGCAAATTGGATGAATATTGTTTCAACAATATTTGGAACATCGAATTCACCTATATTGAATGATATAATTTCATCCATATCATGCGGAAAATATCGTATACATATTGTTTCCAGCAATTATAACCAATATCGCAAATTGAACATTCTTCCCATGTCGATTCTGAAGCGGTTATACAAAATTGCATGTATATTCGAGGTCGACGACTCATTTTTGAATATTGTTTATTTAACAATATTCTAAACATCATATTTACTCAAATTGATTGATATCGTTTCAACTATATCATGCGAAAGACATGGAATGCATATTGTTTCAAATATAAATATCAATAACGGCAATTCGATGAATATCTTATATCGGTCATAGAAGAGAAAAACAATATTGTATTTTCAATTTCAATTGCATATCGGTTGAATAGCTCTCCAGCCATATTCAGAAAATAATATTATCTTATATTGGCTGATATCTGATTCACTATATCATGTAAGCAATATTGTTCACATATTGTTTTGAGAATGTATACATATCGATATTGAAATTTCGATATTCATTCCATATCACGCACTCTCTAACCGATGTCGATAGATGGCGCTATAAATGATTGGTAACGAACTACCATTGCCGATCAGACGAGAGAATATAAATATTGGCTCTAGACGATTGTGAAGCATTACCTGGAGTTGGGGTTGAATGTGATCAACAAGGCGGCTTGTGATTATTCCTAATGCGAATAACTCGCAAATATTGGTATGATTATATTCCACCAATATTTTGAAGACAACATAGCTACATAATGATTTTCAATAATGAACCAATATTTCCAACCAATATTGCACCACTATTGTCGAATGTTCACTGTCCATTCATCAGCAATATTGATATCACAATTTGTGACCAATATTACTCCACGAATATTCCAGCAATATTGGTATGGAAATATTCTACCAAAATATTTTCGAGACAATATAGCTTTATGATGATTTTCAATGATTCACCGATATTTCCATATAATATTGCACCAAATAATATTGCCGAATGTTCACTATTAATTTCTTGCCAATATTGATATTACATTTTGTGACCAATATAACTCTACGAATATTTAACTAATATCGATATGAGAGTATTCTACCCACATTTGGAAACTGATATTGATACCAATATCGCCGAATGTTCACATTTTTTCCTCGCCAATATTACTTTCACAATATTTTGCCGATATTTTCGTAATATTGCACCGATATTGTCCCAATATATGTGTGCTACTTGGGATCTACCATATTTTATAACTGTGATACAGAATAACGTAATCTTGATTTTTTCAATATCTTTATCTGGTCAACTCATAACTTTTTGAACCATGGTGTATAATCGATTCATACTCGATAGGAATATTCAACTCATATTACTCATCAAAACTGAATAGGAATCGAATTTAGAATCTAGATCCTTATCAGGGAAAACAGAAAAGTACTTCTTTTTCAAAAACAACACTCTGTATATCAGAATTTTGTAGATATGTTTTAATATCTGCAAAGAGCAGGAAAACTTAATGAATTGGCCTACTTTTCAACAGTGTGCATCCAATTTAACTTTTTTTCATCATTATTTTTTTAAATTGAATTTTTGTAGAACTACCAATACTAAATCCAATTTCATCACAAAAAAATGCACAAAGGTTAAAAAATGAATACCATATATAGATTTGGCCAAAATTATATTTTTAGACAATTTACTATTTTCAAATCGTTACACTTTCGAAAATAATAGTGCCAGCTTCTTTTAGTATATCAGTGTTCAATAATTCTTCATCTTATATTTTGTATACTATATATCTTTTCCCCCCGTATAATTTCATTATCGTCATTAGTCATAGATACATCATTTGTTCGGAAATCAATCAGTTAGCAGCATGATTCAACCTATTAGTCATTCATTCGAGACCAGCAGTGGGACTCTGTAACTCAAAGCGAAAGCGAAAGCATGCGTAATCGACTGCTTTTGCCGTTTCGGTACTCTGTATCAATATTCGGATGAGGTCGGAGACGCCGAACGTGAGTTCGTAAGCGAAGCAGAAGCGAAGGATTTTGGTTGCCGCTTTCTGCGATTCTCAACGATTGAGGTTATAGGTATTGGTTTTTGTTGTTGTTCCTAGTTCAAACTTTGTGTTGATTTGAGAAAAATAATAGATTGATAAATGACGAATGAACCCAAACATGGATAACAAAGCGAGCAAAAACAGAACTTCAGTCAGTGGGACAGATTCCTCAGTTTTACGAACAAAGTCCTAAAGATATTCCAGAGAGATGAAAGTTCCCTTTGGTAGGATTAAGGTAGGGGATGAAAGAACGTGAGACGTGAGATAAAAAATATGATAGACAGTGTGATGAAAACATACAGTTCATTTGGTAGTTGAAAAATAAACTGAAAACTGTCATTAGTGCTGTTGAATAGGGTCTGGAATAATTCATATTCATTCGAATTATCCTTCTCTTTTAGATTCCTGATACATCAAAACAGGCAGATATAAGTAGCTTCTCCAAAAAATGAAATGTGCCATTACTGAATGTTGTCTCACTGAATCCTTGTTAAGAAAAATATGTCTTTGGTGTGAGTCCATTGAAGAAGACAATAATAGGTAATTGAAGAATCCTACTAATATAATATGCCGATACCTACAACAGTGAAACATAACAGAAAGCCTGGAACGTTCAAATTTGAAAAATTTGCATAATAAGTGCATTGGAAGGAAAAATAATTTGGATAGCAAAAACCTTGGAGACACCCAAGAAGAACTGTGTAATATTACTGTGTACCAATAAGGGAGAATCAAGAGTAAATTCCATGAAACAGGATTAACTGAACATTATTTACTATGTTGAACAAGAACAAGAACGGATTCTACTTTCACTACATTAATAATTCCATCCAAGATTCTAAAGTGAACTGTAAGAAAAAGTGCATCTGTATAAATGCACTGTCAACATATAGCTGCCTTGCAGAAGGCAATTCAAGGAATTATATGTGCTTATCATCTTGTTTAATTTGCGACATAGAGAAGCAAGTTCTGATAGGTATTACATTATAGTATGTGAATAATAATATACTGAGTGTTAGATTATAGAATGATATGTCCATTATAAATATAAGCAGTTACATATCTTACAATATTATTGTTATTCTCAGATCATTTGCCTTTACTAGTTGCATATAAATAGAAAGCTATACCTGAGATATACCTAGTGAGAATATAAATACCAATTTTTTATAAAGTAAGGTACATATTTTCCAATGAGCTGCAAGTGCTTTATTTCTGATTGAAACCAAAAATTGACAATACAATAATTCGTAAATGCCGCTTTTTTGATCCAATGGGATGTTTCCTTTGAATAAATGGGATCCGCAACACTGTTGCCAAATTTAACTCCACCAACTTCGTTCTATTTCGTACGAAATCGTATGACGATAGCGAAAGCATAACGAACTACATATAGAGTACCGGAAAGCGAAGTCGTATACTTCGCTTCGTTTCGCTTTCGCTACGCTTTCGCTATGCGACACAAGTTACAGAGTCCCACTGCAGGTGGTGAACCAAGACAGTATTATATTAGATGTCATCACGTGTACTGTCGAATTTTGTGATCTCAATTGAAAAATACGCGAAAGGAATTATTTATCGTTCCAAAGGGAGTGTTCACTTGAAAACGAGTGCAAGTGTAGTGTTTTTGTATCCCTCATTCAATTCAGTGATTACATTATCGCGATCCCGTGCTGTTCTGGTGTTTTGTGTTGTTTCATCAAAGCTTCGCATTTTTCACGCTGGTGAGTCAAGAGAAATTCTCTCAAGTTTTCCCCATATTTCCCTCTTTACGTTTAACTTCATTGTTCATTACCTTATATGTTTTCAAAATCACAAAGGTACCGTTTGTTGAATATTTTCCGATGAAGATATACTTTTTTATGATTTTCGTACTTTCCGTTCAGAACGGTATTTTTTCAACCTTAAGTCGACTTCGCAATTGAAAAAATCTCTTTTCATGTTGAAAACGGGAGCAGAATCGGTCCCGAAACGTCCAAAGATAAGTGAAAATTTGATATTTTTTCTATATACCTTTATTTCTCTTCTCCAAAAATTTTTCAATACAAATTGTCACTGACAAGCTGGTGAATTTTTCTTTTAGGCTCTCTGATAGGAAAATTCTTTAAACGCAGTGACATTTTGGGGCAAATCATCTGATTTGTCCTTACTACACGTATATTGAAATAATATTCATATTTTTATTTTATAGAAACGAGGAGAGAAAATCCCAAAAAATTTGGAATAATGAATGTACCTAAATAATCATCGATATCTCCTTAAACTTGAATTCAATTTCAAGGAATGACCAGAAACAAGAAACAACTGATTATATATTATGAATCTGGGTTTTGGTTTAACATTTTGTAGCTTTTCCCACTCATTTGCAAGAGATATCCTGGACAACTCTTCTTCCTTGCTGAAAATTTGAAAAGATGTTAGTATGGTCCTAAATAAACATTTATAAATACCTAGATATTTGATCTGTTGGTTGTACAGAATTGTTTGAATCAAGGTAAAATGCTTCTATTCTGCTCATGTATAGCCACTGTGTGTATAGCTCTCTCGACAGACATGAACTAGTAGCGTATACTTTCTTGGCTGTAGCCGCTGTGTTCTGTGTCATTTTAGGTTGTCTTGTCATCATGTCTCATGTCATGATTGTTGTTCTGTCATCAGTGAGCACTCACTACTCAGCACTGTCATCACTGTCACTTTCATTTGTCACCATGTGAAAACTGCATTGTGGATTCGATTTGAATTTTTTGAATTATTATATTCTACATATTGTGATGTAGATTATTATAATATCAAACAAAATATCCAAGTACATTGCAAAATCATCATAACCTGACCAATAGACAATAGCTACTTAACTTCCAGTGAAACAAGCTCAAATGGCTCCAACTAAAAATAGACTTCCTCCTACTGGGAAGAGAAAAACTTCTACAAGGAATTTCTGGATGGCAGAGTACAAAAAATATTTGAGTAAAGATTTGATTCAAAACTTGATATTTAATCCTCATTATGTAGCTCCAATATGTTATATTTTATTCATAATGGAGGCATTCCTCAATGTGTTCATAATTGAAAGAGTTAAATACACTGAAATTGATTGGATTGCCTACATGCAAGAAGTTGAGGGATTTCTTAATGGAACACTGGACTATCAAGAACTAGAAGGTATATTAATATAGTTTACCTTTCATACACAATTGGCGACCTTTATGTAAAACCTAAAAACTGATTCAATATGAACCATGGAATGAAGTTGAGATTTCCATTTCTTATATTATCTTGTGTCTTAGAGAAGCCCAGCTAGTAACTTCCTAACAGGTAGTTTCTAAATGAAGTACCTTAATTGATCCATATTTGGTTAGTGACTATAAATCAAGAATTAATTACCAGGGTTGAAGGAAGTAGGAAGGTACCCAAGAGCAGCATTTCACCAATGTGGATTTGGTACTCCAATTCTCATTATTAATTTCCAGATTAAATTCCCACAATTCCTCTCAAACTTCCACAATTTCCCTTGGATGTTCAGAATTCCGCCACAATTCTCCTCTAATTTACATTATATACTGAAGGTTAAATTCTCAATAGATTCCCATCCTTGTTCAGGGTGGCTGGAATTCAAGCCTCATCATTGGGACAAAGTTACACAATAGGTATCATGCATAACAAAATGCTGTTTTCAAACTTGGAAAATGCGTTCAGTTATAGAAAAAACAAAAGAATTTCCTAAGACCCATTTTTATTTCTTTTTTCAAGTTACATCTCCAGGTACTTGATGATATCAACCAAATGACACTTTATCATAGTCACTTTTTTCATTTATTTTTTTCAAGTTATTTGATAAAATCAAAATCAATGAAATGAAACTTTATTATGGCCAATTTTTTCTTTACAAGTTGGCATTTTCAAATTTGAAATCTGACGTTTTGTCTTCCAGAAACCAAGATCAACTTATCTTTTTTGTATATGGACCTGGATTTTTTATGTCATTTCTTCACACCTTTGGATATCCCAAAAGCTATAAGCAATCACAAATGTTTCTTTTCAAATGTTTTGTTTACAAAAATTGACAGTTTTGTATTGAAAAAAATATTTGAAACGTCAATTTTTGTAAATGAAACGTCAATTTTCGTAAATGAAACGTTTGAAAATAATACTTTGTGACAGCTCATAGCTTCTGGAATGTCTAAAGATGTGAAAAAATCGAGGAAAAAATTAAATTAAAAATCCAGGTGTATTTGAAAAAGATAATTTCTTAATTTTGAAAACGTCAATCAACTTGTAAGAAACAAAAAGTGACCATGACAGAGTCATTACTTTAGATTAATTTCTTCAAATAACGAAAAAAAAAGTGGGTTTTAGGAAGTTTTTTTTTTCATATATATTCAATAGTGAAAGTATTCAGAATTTCTCAAGTTTTGAAACGGCATTTTGTTAGGCATAAAATTGCAGGGGCCATGCATCTCATACTGTTTACAAGATTTTTGATAAGTTCGAATTACAGCCACCCTGTACATCAAAGTTCATATCATTCAAATTCTCACATATTTAATGAGTGAGAGAAATTCTGTATGATTATTTCATGATACTGAAACCAATAGAAGATTATCGTCACTGGAAAGGTAAAAGGTCCAAAGTGACATTTCGGTAGGTTTTCAGGGGAGCGTTTTAAATGTTAAAATATTGAAACAAAAATCATCATGAATTGCCAAGTAAATTATTATTAGGTTTGAATTGACTATCAAATACATCAATTTAAAAAAAAAATTATAGGAATGATTTACTCCAAAGTCCAAACCCAAATAATTCAATAGATAATTGCTCGGATAATTGGCGCTTATGTCAAATGATACTCTTACTATCCTTAAATATTGAAAGGTAACATTTTCTTGTCTCTCTCCACTAGGCGGTAGACAACACAACCTGGAGCTAAAATCTGATATGTTTTCCATGTATAATACACTATTTTTTTCTGTGACAGGAAAAAAGGACCAATCAATATTGAGAAGATATTACATTATATTGAAATCAGAAAATCATCGAAATATGTAGTTTTTAGTTTTTACTAGGAATGACACCTGCCTCGCAGGCATCTTTATCATTCTTTTGAAGTAATCAAATATCTGTCATATTGTGGGATTTAATTTGAAAAAATTGCGAATTTAGTGGTTGTTTAGTAATTTACCTAACCTGCCAACAGAGATGAAGTTTCAAACTTTTTTACCGCCACAGAAAAAACAGTTGTTCAGTACAAAGGTAAAGCACAGTCGCTTGTATTATAAAATGTACGCTAATCAAAATTTCCTGTTATCCACGGAGTGGGCGACATTTACATTTATAAAGTTACACTATAAACTCCGGAAAACAAACAAGTGAAACAAGTCAAAAGAAAAGTGTCAAAGTCATTGTTAAGATGGCTATTCGCGATAGAAAATAAACATACGCCACCTATCGGAGTTCTTGAAAGCTCTCAAAGAGGCTTGTTTACTTTCTTTCTATTGGTTCACATTTGTTTCTTGTTTGTCGTGCTTATTGGCCATATCATCAAAACAAACCGCTCAGAAGTGTTCATGTTGTTGCCGTCAGGTGGGGTGACGTATTATTTTCTATCGCGAATAATGTCACTGTATGTGGTAATATCATTGTGGTGATATATTATCGAATATTTCCTTTTGTTCGCATAAATTATTAATTTTGCGTTTGTGAATGTCATGTTCATAGTTTTGTTATGACGAGTAAATCGAAGAATTTTTATTCTGTACAAGAGTGTAATAATTATACATCAGAAAATGTTTTCATGTACTTCTTCCCAAAAAAACAGGAATTGGCGAATGAATGGTAAAACCTCGGGTAAAACAGATTGGAAATCGGAAAACCGATCAGTAAATATATCTGTTTTCGCAGTGAACACTTCAGTTTCTTGAAAATGTGTTTCAATGTTCGGAGAGGCAAATAACCAGGAAAGTACCTATAGTTGTTTTTCTGTTGAATATTCCGAATATATACAGTGTCTTTCAAAAGTATCGGAACGGTCTCATATTTCAGGAACGGCTCGAGAAAAATTCACTAAATTTCCTACAGGGTGATTATTGATGATGTCCGATTCAATGGTGGCATCGGCAATGTTGCCAAGTTTACAGTTTTTCAGATATTAGGAGTATCTTCATTTTCTCAAATGGAATACCCCATTTATTTTTATTGCAATTAATTAAGCGCCTCCTAATTACTTGAGTCCCTGAATATCAGATTCGTAATTAACGTGATTTTCGAAATATGACAACATAGCATTTTCGTTAAAAAGTTCTGGAACGGTCCCATATTTCAGAAACGGCTCAGAGAAAATTTATGAAAACTTCGACAGGATGGTTGTTGATGATGCCCGATTCAATGGTGATATCGGCAATGTTGCCAAATCAACAGTTTTTCAGATATTGAGGGTAACTCAATTTTTTCAAATGGAATACCCTATTTGTTTTCATTGCAATACATTCAGCGACGCCTCATTACTTATGTCTTCAAATATCAAATTTTAAATAAGTGTGGTTTTTTAAATAGCTATTTTAATAGCTATTGAAGTGCTTGTTACTGATTACAAAAACTAAACGCTAATAACTATTTGAGTGACATGGATTGAAAAGACTGCATTAAAGGAGCGAGTTGCGAATTGATCGCAATAAAATTTCACATTTTCGCGTGCCCTTTTGAAAATATTGGAGCGTTCGCGATATTTCAACGGAGCATGTTCTCATATTTAAAAAACCACACTTATTTAAAATTTGATATTTGAAGACATAAGTAATGAGGCGTCGCTGAATGTATTGCAATGAAAACAAATAGGGTATTCTATTTGAAAAAATTGAGTTACCCTCAATATCTGAAAAACTGTTGATTTGGCAACATTGCCGATGCCACCATTGAATCGGACATCATCAATAATCACCCTGTAGAAAATTTCGTGAATTTTTCTCAAGCCGTTCCTGAAATATGAGACCGTTCCGATACTTTTGAAAGACACTGTATTTTTATCTGAAAGGGAATGCAAATTTTCAACTTCAGATTTTATTTCAACTTCACTAGGTATCTACATACCAATTTACATATATCAGTAAAGCAACAACATGTTTACATAAGTCAGATTGGCCTCCTTTACAACTGCATATACAGATCCACTGAGTCACAGATATACCTACTGATCCCAAATTCAGTTTGATTTCGTGTGGATGAGATTTCAATGCAAAACTTTGTGAACAAATACCAAAAATGCGTCTATTTTCCACATCTTCTTCCTGGCACAGGATAACATGGTTGGCATTGAATCTGCTTCCCCTTCGGCCACATGTTAAATACTCAATGATATAAGTTACATTTATGTTTTCAATAGGCATTTGAAAAATTATAATTTGGAAGTCACCAAAAGTACATCTCAGAAATGACATATGATATGACATCAAGATGACATTTCCTTTGTTTTCCCGTAGTTTTGGTGTGACACCTGATGCCCATTGTGATCATGATTAACAAAATCAAGTGTATTCGCGATAGAAAATAACACGTCGCCCCACCTGACGGCAGCCACTTGAACACTTCTGAGCGGTTTGCTTTGATGATATGGCCAATAAGCACAAACAAAGAACAAATGTGAACCAATGAAAACAAGTAAACATGCCGCTTCGACAGCTTTCAAGAACTCCGATAGGTGGCGTACGCTTATTTTCTATCACGAATCTTATAAAGCTGATTTGACTAATACGCCTATTTTCTTATGTCTTGAGAATGCAAAATGGGGTAATACAATGATCCTTCTAAATATCAAACTATTAAATTATTAATTATTAAATTATGCAAATTGGCTAACAGGCAAAACATAGTTATGAATGTCATATCAAATGTAAAAGTAAAGAAACTAATGGTTGTTTATTTAATGTTGGAGTTGACTCATTTTACTGTGTCGTTTAAGCAAATACTTCAAATTAAAGGTACCCATTTTACGGTGACTAATGCGCCAGCTAAGTGATCAGATCAGAATACTATGAAACTCTCACTGTTTGATTAAAATATTTTCCCCAAAATTTCATAGCAAACTAATTCTCAACAGTAGATACCCAATAGAATCAGGTTTCAGTGGCTAAAAAATAACCGAAATCGGTTGTAGATTATTGTTCCACCAATTTATTTCTAATTGCAGGTGATACTGGACCGTTGGTTTATCCAGCTGGATTCGTTTATATCTATAGTTTATTTTATTACATGACATCACATGGAAAAAACATCCACTTAGCCCAATATATCTTTTTGGTTCTCTATCTGGCCCAGACATTTCTTGTACAAAGGATTTTCAGAAAAACATTGAAAGTTCCTCCATATGCCTTAGTACTAGCTACTCTAACTTCATACAGGATACATTCAATTTTCGTGTTACGCCTTTTCAATGATCCGATAGCAGTTTTATTATTTTATATCAGTTTGAACTTGTTGATATCCGACAAATGGATATTGGGTAGCATATTTTATTCATTGGCTGTATCGGTTAAAATGAATATTTTACTTTATGCTCCTTGTCTACTTATAGCTTATTTAACGAATCTGAGTTATACTGGAACATTTTTGAATTTATGTATTTGTGGTATCATACAAGTGGTATTAGGTCTTCCATTTATGTATCATAATTTATTTTCATATATTAAGGGAAGTTTCGATTTGGGCAGAGTTTTTGAACATAAATGGACAGTAAACTATAGATTCCTACATAGAGATGTTTTTGAAAACAGAATTTTTCATCTGTCTTTGCTAGCGTTACACATAGGCATATTACTTTTATTTGTTCCCTACTTCAAGAAATACTTGAGCAGCTATGCCAAGTTGAATGAAGTAACTATGCAATTGAAATTACAAATTGAGGCTGAAAATCAGAAGAAAAAGGCAGAATCTGAAAAATTATCAAAAAGCCAGAAGCAGTTTCTATATTCGTTTGAGAAACAGTTGAAAAATAGTAGTATAGAACCGACAGCTCAAGTTCACAATGATAATAAATCTAAGATAGAAGATAATATGTCAAAAATTGTGCAGTTGTTTGTACTGCCTTTTTTTGTAACAAATTTAATAGGCATAGCTTGTGCAAGATCTCTTCATTACCAGTTTTACAGTTGGTATTTCCATAGTTTACTGTATTTAGTATTTTGTACAGGATACTCTAAGCCCTTTTCATTTTTACTATTAGGTTTAATAGAATATTGTTGGAATGTATACCCTAGTACACATTTTTCCAGTATTTTATTACATGTGTGCCATTTTACCTTATTATTTGGACTGTATAGAATTATGAGCAGGTGATGTAGTTGTTTTAAAATAAAATTTTCAAAAGTTTGTGTTTGATTCAGTGACATACTTGGTTTTTCAGCAACTACTTTATTTTCTGATATGACGTTGTCAGCAATTTTGGCTTTGGCGATACTAGCCATAAATTGGATTAGCAAAGTCAATATCAGGAATGTTGATTGATATGCTGGGTAATCAAAACCTTGATAACATAGATTTGAAAATTCTAAAAATTACCTGAAATTACAATTTTCTGATTGTTTCTGCTCCATAACTTTGAAACGGTTCATGAGATTTCACTCGAACTCTTTTGGGCAAATAAAACCCATACCATAATCATTATGAATATCATGCCATGGATGTAGACCTTGATTTTTTCAGTGAATAAACATCTAATACTTCTACGCCAATGGAAATAAAGGCGGGGTTTGAATATGAAATTTGGTTTGTGCACCTTATCTAAATGAAAATTACTCCTGATAAAATTCTATTACTCATGGTTTCAACAAAATTTGAATAACAGTAAATTAGAGCGTTACTCAACATTAAAACGATATTTCATGAAACATTTTCAACATATTTCCATTTTTACTTATACAGAGATTTATTCTACAAAAAATTGAAATGTGCTTGATCAAGACTCCTTCATCCATAGAACGGCTAAGCTCTGGAATTCATTGCCTGTGGAAGTATTCCCAACAACATATAATCTCCAAAAGTTCAAAAAAAATTCCAATATCTACCTCCTGTCCCTATCCTCCCGTCCCTATCCTCCCTAGGAACGCACGATGTTCTTTGAACATTATAGGGATTCCCTTTCGTGCGCTCCAAGCGATAAAAAAATCAGCTATTTCTTGTTTCTTGTCTAGCGTCCAGTTTGAGCAACTTTTGCACTGAGGTGAGTTCGCTTGTATCCATTTTTTTGGTCGCATTTTGAAAAATGTTCATTACATCTGTAAATTGTTTTGATGTCAAATGATGCTTCAAATTTGTAAAGTTTAAATTTTGTTAGAACCATGAGAGTAATCGAATTTTGTCAAGATTTTTTTCATGAAAACAAGTTACGTAATACAAATCCAATATTCAAACCCCTTTCTTTCCATTGGCGTAGAAGTCTTAGATGTTTATTTACTGGAAAAACAAGTTCTACGTCCATGGAACGATATTCATCATGATCATGACTATCATGACACAGCATAAATGCTGTGATCATGATGTGAATTTTATTGTTTAATAAAGTTATGCCAACTACCAAATTTGAGAAAAATGTCATGAGCCGTTTCAAAGTTGATGCGAAAACAATTCGAAAATTGTAACTCCAGAGCCGCCCAGTGTCTAAACTAAGCAACTTAGGTGAATTTGCTCTAATCTAATTATTTTGGTCTGATGAATATGTGGTAAGTTATCGCGAGGACATTTAAGAAACAAGGAACACTCTGTAGAATTGAATGCTCCACATTGCTGATGTCTTTATTTTCTCAAAATTGCACTGGAAACGAGATTCTAACAAAAATTAATATTTGGGCGAAAATATTTTTTTAGGACTTTAAATCTCGGTTCCTGTTCGTAATTTAAGAAATTTGTAAATGGAAAAGTTGTAAAACTTAGTTTTATTCGAACTCTTTCGGCCTCATTAGCTTTAGAAGGGAGATATATGGGAAAAAATAAGATTTTGTCGTGATTTCTACTGGTTTTTTTTCGGGGTCGTAAACTTGGATTTAACATAATAGATCTGCATAATATAACATACCGAACATTTGAAACTATCAACAGCAAAGAGATAAAACAGCACAGATGATATAAAACTGATTGGCAAACAAAAAAATGATGAATTCAGTTTTGCCTGCATTCATGTCACAAATATGACTAATGTGGCGTCCCCCCCGAATATATATCAAGGTTGAGTACCAAATTATGTATGCTCATACCCAAAAAGTCCTAGTTCCAAAATTTGTATATTTATGTCCAAAAAATTTCCATGTTATTGTGAGAAATTAATTTTGAAATTTTATATTTGACACAATGTTTTTCTTTCGTTAGCATAGGAGTATTTAAAGTAAATGAATATATTAATTGTGAAATAATATTTATTCAATATATTAACGCGCCATATACAAAATAAGGACAAGGCCAATAATATCCATATATGAAAACAATAATGCGTTTGATAAAATATACAAACTGATCTAAATTTTCAAGTTCAAACATCCAATCATTTGAAAATTACCAAGTAGGGACAAAACAATCATAAAAACTATTTATATTCATACATAAAGCTTCCATCTGATGATGTATTCCAAAGAAATTAAATAATTAAATAACATTTCATGATTTATTCTAGCATTGATTCAATCAATTTTATGTTATTATAAAGTTATGTAATCTTTGAGTTGGGATAATGTATCCCCATCTACGCACTGTAACAACTGTTGATACTGTTGTAGCCCCACCTGATTCCTCAACTCAAACAACTGTGATTGAAGATAATCTTTCAGAACAATCGTATGCACAGGATCCGACAAAACAAGTAGTTTTTTCCTCTCATCATGATCAGTTTCATAAAACCCATCTCCATCTTCGAAGTGACTCGGACTTTGCCCTTCCGTCAAAACCAAGGAGTCAGTCATAGTTCCATTTTCTTCAGGCTTGGTGATATCATTGAGAGATTCTAGAATGTTCAAAATTATCAGGCCAAACCGCTCGAGGACTGGCCCGCTCTGAGTCGTTAACAAATTAACAAGTGCTAATCCCAACAATTTTCTATGATCGAGTTCGGCAACGTTCCTCATTTTATCGAGCCAGACATCCAGAATCTTTCCCAAAGTAGTTTGGTCAGTCTCGTTATGTGCTTGTGCAACGTTATTTAGAACTCTCGTGAAAATTTCGTGAGAAGACAACAACACCCTAGATAATATACAAAGATACATTGACATGAGCATGGGATATTCTTCACTGCAGTATATTCTCTGGAATATTCTAGGTAGAATAGGAAGTGTCGTCTCTGATCCTAGCAGTGGCGAAGCTCTAATGTAGACTTCAACAAGTCGCATCAATATTACTATTCCCTCATTTTTCAAATCGGGCATCAAATTGTCACATATTTGTATGACCTGCATACCATTGGTACGCATAACCAGTTCAGGTGCTAATAACAGGTGAACCTGACAAATTATTAGACACTGTCGAAGGGTTTCTGTGGAATATTCCAACAGAGGAGGCATATTATTGAATAAACTCATTAGTTCATTGGTCATAGCTGGAGAGTATTCCAACACAGTCAACCACAAATCCAAGGAATCTTCCAACAAATACAATATAGCACTTTGAGTTGTATCTGTCCCAAGCTGAATGATGGGTAACAAGAAGGGATTCAGCTCAGGTTTGACCCCTCCCAATGCCTTGACTAGTTGAACGAGCGTGGAAACTATAGCACACCGGAGCATGTTGTGTTCTTCAGATTCCTGCCAAAGGTGGGGGAGATAATGTACGAGCGAATCCAGTTGCAGCTGAATCGTGCTTCCCATTCGCTCTAAAAGGAGAGTCATAACGTTCAACACTTGCATCTTCGTTTCACACTCCCTAGCTTCCTTTAACAGAGTGAACAGCAAGTTGAACGAGTCGAACATGTATTCTTTGAACTGCTCACAGTTGAACTCAAAATCATCTATCGCGAATCGCAGAGTAGCTGCAGCAGTCAACCTCACAGCCATGTCCTCATTTGGCGCCAATAAGCTGTTGATGCATTCATAGAGAGCTGGTCTCAACTCGCTCCTAAATTTAATAGTCCAACGCCCAATCATCGATGTCACTTGCCTTCGAATTACCCTATAGTTGTTGTGCTTTATCCGCAACTCTTGAAGTAGAGTGTTCACGAACCACTGGTCGAAGTCGATTTCGTCGTACAAATCGAAGGCGCATAAACCGACAGCATTATAAACAGCGTCTTTCTTTAGGATACCCTGCATGTCTTCAGGAGGTACCAATACGTTCGTTTCCGATACTAATTCTAGTATGACTGGTATCGAAAATTCCTTGTATTCATGGAAAATGGTAACGAAAACTGTGTCCATACTGGGCCTCAAACTGTACTTCCAGCTATCTCCACTTTCATCATTGGAAAACTCCTCAGGATCAGCATCCCACGAGTCGAGCTCATCCTGTGTCAAAATGAAATAATGCCCTACCAATTTTCGGCACATGTCTGAAACGGTATGAGGTTGAAAAAACATTTTTTTTATTTCATAGGATCGCAACGTCTCAGGATTCATCACGTCAGGATTTATCGTCTCAGGATTTCTCTGTTTTTGCAGTTTTCTGGCTGGTTTATATTCTACACATAACAAAATGTTTTTTATGAGATTAAAGCACTGTATCACAAATCTTTCAAATATCAGGCCGATACCTTCATCAGTGAAAAGATAATAAAAAGTGAGTTCCAGAGTTGGTTGGATGAAATCTATAAAAGAAAACGGGTGCAACTCTAAGATCGACAATAGAACTTTGGTTAGATGTATGATGTATTTTTCGCATAACTCCAGAACATATATGCCCTTTCCCTTCAGCTGCTTGCGACACTGTAAGACTGTTTTTGCTTTGACGAAAATCTCCTTCATGAAATTAACATAGTCCTTATTCTCATGAGGTTTGTATAAACTTCGGTAGAAACCAAACACTGATAATTTCCTCAAAATTCTGAGTGTGAGCAACGCTTTTTCTAAGTTCACTGTAATTACTGCAGCTGTAGAGTTCTGCACAATATCTCTCACGAAATTCTCGGAATAGGTATTCCACAGATTCAAAACAAACGCATAAATGTTCAGAGTGAATTCGTGAAAAAGCATTCTATCGCACGCTAGCTTTTTGGAAGAAATAGCCTTAACTACATGGTGTAAAGTCAGCAATGACCTATGCTGAATTAAACCATCAGCACTTTCAATAGCCAACAATAAAGTTGGGTACAGTTCTGGCCAGTCCTTTGGGCAGTCCATTCTCGCTATTATCGATATCAAAACTGCCCTTTGAATGGCAATCTGATTGACAGGTTCAGTGAAGCTAGTCAATAAACCCTGCCGTATATTTTGTTTCTCTTCCTCGGGTATGGCATTGGGTGCATTTTTTCTCCAGTATTTTTCGATGCCATTTTTCATGTAAAGTACTGCTATCCAGCGAACGTTGACATCAACTGAATGATTGGATATAATGTTAAAGAGGACTGTGTAGAAGCCAGGTTGAACTTCCCATTCTTTCAGCTTTGTCTCTGCTGGTTTGAGAATTTCAGGGTTTTGACTAGATGCCGCTCGAAGAACCTCTAACACAGGAACCAGAGTCGACTCCATAGCTCAACAGGAAAATTTTAGTGACAAGATTATAACAGCACTCAATATACAAATCGAGAGGGTCGGTTCAGAAGCAAGGGAATACGCTAGTCCACTGGTTCATCTTTAATTTCAATTGCTTCTGGCTTAATTCTCTTAATGTCTGGTTTCTCTTCAACATCGTCGTCGTCGTCTTCGTCAACTGAAAATAAATAAATCAATATATTCCAATGACAAAAGACTTTCTTTCCGATTTTTTTTTACAAAATAAGCTATACCGGATGGTCCACTAGAGACTATCCACACTCACGAAAGAATGTTTTTATGGTGGTATGGAAAGGAACTCCCTTTGACGTATAGGAGGTAATACATCCTTCAACTCCTACTCTACTCGAGTTCGTTTGACTGGTGTTGCAAGTGATGGAATGATAGCAAATATTTATGAGAAAAATTTCCCGTCGAAGTATCTACAGAAAAGTGAAAGGTCGCCCTCTTTTCTACGGTGTTCTGATGAGGTCAAAATATCAGTGAGTGTGGCATCACCCACCAGGCGAATGGCTCTTATCTGGATGGAATCTAAGAGCATCAGCGTATGTTTGGGTGCTGAACCCCATATGTGAGAACAGTATTCTAAAACTGGCCGTATCTGTGCTTTGTAGATCATGAGACGCTGTTGAGGTGTAAAGTAGATTTTCACACGGAATAAGAATTCGAGTTTTTGTGAAACAGTTTTCGCGATGGATTGAACTTGATTTTCCCATGAAAGTGTTGCTGATGGAAATACCGAGCATAGATATAGTGGTCTTGGTGGGACTGGTGATACCAGATATTGTTATATAAGGTACACTTAGTTCCGCCTTTCTAGAGAAAATTCAGGCTTGATTTGATGGCATTGAATCCAGCTAAACTACTTGTGTGGGACAGACAAAAAATTGACTAATTCTGACTAGAGTTCCTAAATGTTCTTGACACTGCTGTTTTCACGTTTTTTGTATATTAGAGTACGGACACTATGACAAGCACTGACAATCAGACATAACCACAAATAAATTGATGGAAAAAGCGGGAACTGGCAGTACACGGACGTACATGACATAAATTTCAAAGGTTTGACAAATTGAGAGAATTACGAGAAAGATGAAAGTTTGTGCAGTTTCCAACTATGACAACACGGAAAATCAATTCACTCTATTCGAATTTCCATCGGATAACGTAATTCTACAAAAATGGAAACAGAATATGATGCGGCCGGCATGGAATATAGGTTCAGCCAACAAAATATGCGAGGTATTCAAATTTCTTGGTAGGATATAGAAAATTTTTCAACGCATTTTTATTAGGTACACTTCAGAACGGGAGATTTGATGTTGAAGAATATTTGAGAGAAAGAGCCTGACCCACAATTTATAAACTGAGCGAGTGTCGAGAAGAACCTTATTCCAATTCAGAACCAACAAGAAACGAAAAACTTGCAGATAGTGAAATTCATTTCGAACATATTTTGAAAGAAAAAGACTTGAGAATCAAATTTTTAGAGCTGGAATATTCAAAAATCCAAGGTTTACGAGTGGAAGAGAGTGATGGATTCAGGAAACAAACAGAAGAAGAAAATAGAGAGTTGGAAAATAAGTCATGCGTAGTCGAGAAGTGCTAGACGACTACATAGCTCCTAGTGGATTTTGAACCACTTTTTGGGTACCAAGATACGAGCAAGATATTATCAGAGTGCACGAGTGCACCATTTATGTTAGGTATCCCCTTAAGCAATGTGATCGGCGATCTATAGTGAGTCGACCGCTGAAGTCCATGCATACCTACTTTCGTATGTCTTGGAGAACCTTTATTATTTATCCTAACTGAAATCAGCTGTTATTGTTGCCAAATCATTTGTTCATTTACTTATTAATTACTTATTACCTACCACTCTTGTACAAGTGAAATGATCCATACGAAATAAAAGTATGTTTCATTGGTTGAAATTTATCAGTTTTACCCCATTCTGAACTTTTGTGATAAAAAAATATTCAACTGAACGTATATATATATACCTACATATGAGAGACTCATTTCATAGGAATAGTATATGTATTTCGTGGTATATATGTACATATCAACTTGATATCGACCTCCATTGAGGTCCTTCAGCCTTCAACCAGCTGGCGGTTAAAAACACTTTTAAACACTTTTTAAACACTTTTTTATCATTTAATATTTCGAGAAGAAATAATTTTCTAATCAACTTACCCACTCGAGGAGACGCTATGCACTCTCATACAAAAATCAAAGACAGAGAAAGATATAGGGATGTACTCTTCCCAGGACTTGTGGAAGAAGGAAGATGCGAGGATCCTTCATCAAAGCGAAAAACATATTCTTGTCCTTGTCTGGCAAAACATATGATTTGCTTCAAAATCGTTTGTGGTTATGATTGTCACTGCTTGTCTAGTGTCCGTACTCTAATATACAAATATAGCCAAAACGGCAGTGTCAAGTACATTTAGGAACTCTAGTTGCTGCCAACAGATCTTTGATACAGGGTGACATTTTGAAAACTTCGCACCCTCCATATCTTCCTTCCAGTAAATAGTATGAAAAATCGAAAAGACAGGTCGATTTTATTTTCAAGGGGGACACTTGAAATGATTAGTTCTAGCCCTCTTGGTTCAACCCTCTACGAGGGGTAGATGTTACCCTTAGAATCTCAAATGGGAAGGAGGGTCATCATTTTGAAGGGCGTTCAATTCTCTTTCCAACGGTACCCTATTTTATCATTTTCTGTCGAGCAGTATTCGAAAAATGCCGTGTCAATTAGAAAAATCCCACTGCCACTTGACTCCCCATCCCATTTGAGATTCTAAGGTTAACATCTATCCCTCCTAGGGGGTAGAAAAAAGAGGGCTACAAATATTCATTTCAAGTGTCAAAAGAAGGAAGACATCGAGGGTAGGGGCCAGGTAGCCGTGTGGACAGAGTGTCCATATTCTAATCCGCATTCGCTTCCCGGTCGTGGGTTCGATTCCCGTCGACTGCAGAAATTTTTCTGATGGCCCAAGAAAGTTTTTGGGATCACACGTTAAAAGGTGAGGCCCCCGTCATTCCTTGCTCGCACAAGACTTCTGAGGGTTGCTCGTAAGGGGGCAACCGAATGACGGATAAAACAATTTTAGAACAACAATTTTTTTTTTAGGAAGTTTTCAAAATGTCTCCCTGTATGTAGTAGGAACAATGTTGGTACCAGAATTGATCCTTGTGGAACGCCTGAATTGATGGAAATGGTATCAGACGATACTCCGTCCACTACAACATGGAGCGATCGGCCTAATAGAAAACTCGAAAAAAGCTAGTATCTAGCTGAGGTGGTAAGCCGTATGATAGTAGTTTGCGGAAGAGTCCTTGGTGCCAAACAGTATCGGGGGTAACGGGGTAACGGCCAAACACGGTCGAATGCCTCCGATGTTACCACAGTTTAGGCCTATACTGTGATGTCACCCCTATATCCCGCACATCCCACTTGGAAGGCATATGGCGTAAAAAACATCATTACATGATTTTACGCGGAAAACTCAAGATAACACATAACTAAATGAAGGTGAAACAGAACCAAAACATTTTTTATCACATTTAGATTCCATTGCGTGTTCAATATCGATGAAATATACAATCAGATAAAATGTTTGACGAAAACAATGATATCTCGAACACTTTGTATCATAGTATATATGGTCAAATATGTTCGACATATTCCTACCTATCACCCCCCTTCAGACACGTCGGTGAACCAAACACCCGTATACTCTATTATATCCGCCCTTGCCTAAAGTTATGTACAAGGCATTGAAAGTTGCGTAAAAAAAGAAAGGACCATCGGTGTGGCTGCACGTACATACAACAAAAACGAATATATTTTTACCCAACCATCAGCTGGTAGTTGCATACTGCCTCTCTCTCTCTCTACATCATTCTTTAGGCGCGATAAATATTCTATTTGAAATGTCAACGTGTCAAATTAAATATTTTTAGTCAAAAAAGTATTTGAGTATCACATGAGTATAAAAACAAAAAATAGCATGGTGGCCAAATTTGTACCCAACCACCTACTGAGTTCGTAGCGCTTTGCATCTCATTTTTATTTTTCGAGTTTACTAATTGTGACATCTGTGACATCACCAAGATGGATTCGGACGCCATTCAGTATCCAAACGTGGGCTAAGATACATTCGGCCCCCGTTGTCTTTGTGCCTACATTTTGTAGTTGATAATACAATATATTCCAATACGATCGTATCATTGAACCCTCAAATACCGCACTGTTACGCCGAGAGTTAAATTATTAATGGAAACAGACATTTATAGAAAATACCGATTTATTGATTATATGAAATATATCTATAAAGAATATCAATGCTCTGGCAATGATTCAGCAGAGCTCTCCCCACCACTCGATATTTCATTGATTAATGCTTGTTTGGTGTTTAGGATTGTTGGCATATACTTTTTAATGATTTATGGATGAATCGCAGTGTCTATTGTTGTTTAGTCTGAGGAACGAATACATTACTTAGTATGAGCAAAGCATATTAACGCTATTCACGAACAAGAAGCGAATTTTGCAAACGTCGTCAACATGACCACCAGAAATGTCTATATTTGAGAAGAATGGCGTGTGACGTGTTGACGTTATGACATTATTGTTGAGTTTACGTTTTATTTCATTTTCTTTCAATAATTCAATAATTATTGGGCGAGTTATTGGGTTTATTATTTACATATGCCGAGAGCTAAATCATTTCCGCATTGTGCCGTTTCAAAGTGTGAAACTAAATATGATGGACGAATTAGTTTCTTCAGATTCCCCAAGGAGAACAGGGAAAGGTAAATGGTGTTTATTTATTCAGTCTGTTTTGCGCTAAACGTTTTAATTTTCTAGGTACTTTGAGTGGTTGAAGTTATGTGGAAGATTAGACCTGATTGAGATTGACAAGGATTGCAATAATTTCCATATCACAAAAGCGGATACTGTAATATTCCAAAATAATTGAAGATATTTCAATTTTACCGCCCTGTAATTGTTAACCACCAACATTATACTGAAGTCACTATTGGCCAATATTCATATTCTGATGTTAGGGTTATACCATTACCCTGTATACAATCCATCACAAATCACCCAGGATATATTCGAATATTTCCATGAGGGCTACTTCAATGGAAATAGCTGAATAAACTTACCTGCAGGAATTACAAGTTCTCTTTGTTTTTTGGTTAGAAAATGATTTAGTGAAAAACAATTGTCACAACAGCGTTCTCTCCTATACAGCGTTTTTTCATACAGTAATAAACATTGTCCATGCCTCCAATATTCTTTCTTTGCATAGGAATCGTTTTGGCTTGTTCTGTGAAAGTTTCTATTTCCAAGGCAAGTTCCAAACCTGCATAGAAAAAAGTTTTATAGTATAGTGCAATAGGGAAGTTTCCTATACTGATACCAAGACTGAGTGAAAGTTTATGAAAAATCATTCAGTATACGAATTATTCTTGAATTATTAAAAAGGCTCACGACAATGTATAAGGCAATCTTTAATATTAATATGGGGATATTAGATGTCATCATCCAAAGTCTGTGGTGCAGGTATCTATGCTCGTAATAATAATAATAATAATAATAATAATAATAATAATAATAATAATAATCATATACTCATACAATAATAATATACATTGTGACATTGTGTTGGATTTAACACAAGATTATATCATTAGTGGCCTTATTCATCTGTCATTTTTTTTTTTTTTTTTATTAAACCATTTTAGCATACATATTAATAAATACATCTAGCATTTTGTTCCTAATCAGCAACATGCTGGTGACGGAACATTATAATTGACATATGATTCAATAACAATTTATGTAGTTACCATATAATATACATTAGTATACATTAATATACATTAATATACTTATACACAAACAACAACAATTACAATCTTAAGTATATTATAGTACAGTAGTTTGTTGATTTATGTGCTGAATCAAGTTTATTTTAAATGAAGAATAACTATCTATATTTTTCACAGGATTTGGCAAAGAGTTGAAAGTTTCTAGACATTTGTATATAGGATTATTTAGTGCCAAGTTTGTTCTTACATTTGATAGATAAAAATTATTTTGATTTCTAGTCTCATATGTGTGAGTTTCGTTAACTAAGTTGAATTTAGTATTACATTTTTGTTGATTTTTTTGTATTTTGTAAGTGTATTTGCATTGTTCTATTTGTAATATTTGTTCCAAGGGCATTATTCCTGTTTCTTTATATATTTTCTCTGTATGTGTTCTGTAGCTATATCCAAATAAAAATTTCACTACCTTATTTTGAAGAGTCTGTATTTTCTTAAATTGTGTTGGTCGACATATACCCCAGGTTGTTATGAGATAGCGAAAAACTGACAAAAAGTATGCATTGTAAATCATAAGCCTATTTTGAGTATTCAGATAGCTACCACATCTATACAAAGCACCAATCATAGGGACTACCTTTTTTGAAATATGATTCGAGTGTTCCTGCCAGTTCAGCTTATTATCTATAACCAGTCCTAGATATTTGGTGTATTCGACTATATTTATTTCTTGGGAACCAATTTTTATTGACAAATCACGGGTTTCCATATTTTTGTTTTTGAACAACATAAAAATAGTTTTATTAATATTTATTTTAAGTTTATTACTTAGAAGCCACTCAGCATACAGTTTTAAATCATTATTCACCAACTGTTCCAATTCAGTTAGGTTATTTCCTTCATAGACAAGAACAGTGTCGTCTGCAAATATATAGTAGCGAGCTTTCAATTTGGCTTTTTTAAGGTTTAGTGTATGTAAGGAATACAACATAGGCCCTAAGACTGACCCTTGTGGGACTCCACAGGTAACATTTTTTAGTGCACTGTTGACTTTATCTAGTGACACATACTGTTTTCGGTCTCGTAAATATGTTTCTAGAAGATCTGCACATTTACCTCTTATTCCCAGTAAGTTTAGCTTATTTATTAACATTTCGTGGTCAACTACATCAAATGCCTTTTGTAAGTCGACAAATATCGTTATGACATTTCTGTAATCATTTCGAGTAAATGACATCAAATTTCGAGTATTGTTCTTTCTGGGTATTTGCACTTTGGTATTACTTCAAGTCTTGGGATCTTCAAGGGTTCTATAACTTCCATGTTATGGGGTTTGGCGGCAAATTTCCTGGTGAGTGTCTTCAGTCTGTCTTGTATAGGCTGCACTTTGGTTCTTCTGTAAAGTAGGTCCTTTGTCGTTTGATGGATTATGTAGGCTATTATTAGGGTGTCTCATTTTTGTAACTGCCCTAAGTGCAGCAGTTTCGGCAACTTGTAGGTTTTTCATAGCGGGTTTTCTGCAGTTGATGTATACTGGCGTGTCCATATTCGATCATTGGTCTGACTATTGCTTTGTAGATTTTTGTTGCTTTTATGATGTCAATTCCTTGGTTCTTGTATGTAAGAGCTCTGAAATGTTTTGCTCTAGCCCTTGCTTTTCTTTTTATCAGTGCAGTATGGTGATTGAAGTTGAGTTTTTGGTCTAGATTCATACCAAGATATTTGACTGAGGTACTCGGGCCTAGCCGGTGGTTGTTCATGTTTATGTGGGGGGAGGAGGGGGAAGGTACATGGTTGAATATGATAAATTGGCTTTTCGAAGGATTTGCTCTTAGTCTCCATTTGCTGAGCCACCTCTGCGTGTTGTCGTACATTATTTGGATTTCCTGGACAGTTTTTTGAATGGTACTTTGGTGAGAGATAAGGGCAGTGTCATCGGCATATTGTAAGATGTAAGACGTTGGGTTGGCTTCCTGGACATTTAGGGTGTTGATATCATAGCAATATATGTTATATAGTAATGGGGACAATGGTGAACCTTGAGGTACACCTTGGCAGGTTGTAAAGTAGTTAGATGTTGTATTTTTAATTCTAATTGCTGATTGTCTTCTCCATAGGAATTTTTTCACTAATTGGATTAGCCAGTTAGGAACTTCCGGAAGTGACAATTTGTAGAGGAGTCCTTTATGCCCCTATGCTCGTATATACAGAGAAGTGCACAGAAAACGGCCAGTACTGTAACTTTTGAATTATTCCAGATAGGGTTTTGAAAATTGGTGGGCAGCTAGTAAACCAAATTGCTCATTAATTATCGATGAAACAATTTTTGTTCTATTATTTCCGGTTTTACTGGAAACGACAACGATTTTTTAATGGGACACCCTGTATTGTATTCCATAATCGCAGATATTCGCGTTCTATGTTTCCATATGCTCAATGAGTGTGACAGGGAAAGAAGTTTTGATATTGCGAAGTCACACCCATTGAGTATATGGAAACTTCGAACGCAAATATCTTTGTAATCGTTTGAAATATTCCCCACCAAAACCGGTATCGTTGAATTCGTCATGATAATATCTAACCGATTATGGAATACAATACAGGGTGTCCCATTTGAAAATCAAAAGTCGGGGTTGTTTTTAGTGAAACTGGAAGTGACAGAAGAAAAATGGTTCCATCAATTAATGAGCAATTCGGTATCTTTGCTACCCACCAATTTTCAAAACCCTATCTCGAATAATTCAAGAGTTACAGTCCTGGCCGTTTTTTGTGCATTTCTCTGTATGTATACAATATACAATCTACAGTGCTAGTCAAAAGTCCCCTCCCCCCCTCGTATCTTTTGAACGGGTATACTCATAATAATGAAATTTGGAGGGTGGAAATAAACGGATGTAGGCTTCTCAACTGGTCATAACAGGTGACGCAATAGTCATAAATGACGTCACAAGGCCATTATTATAAGTATACCCGTTCAAAAGATACGAGGGGGGGAGGGGACTTTTGACTAGCACAGTATACGTGTTTCAAAACATAAATTTTTCACTTCGTTCATAAGCCGGTTATTTGAATCACTCTACAATTCCTTGGGATAATCATAAAATATTTCTAAAAAATCAATGTTGAATAACATGAGCTTATTCTAAGAATATTTTTTATCGTTTGGAGCGCACGAAAGGGAAACCCTTTAATGTTCGAAGAACATCGTGTGTACCTAGGTAGGATAGGGAGAGATTGGATTTTTTTTAAACTTTCGAAGGTTATAAGTTCTTGGAAATACTTCCTCAGGCAATGAATTCCAGAGCTTTGAAATATTTCTGAGACATTCTCATGTGGGGACATTACATAGACAATTATGTTCTTGAGGAATACTCAAGGCATATTTTATGAATATTTTTGAACTATTTGGTATCCTGGTTGGATGAAATTTCAAGTCCAAAAAAATATGGGAATACAATTTGGCATTGGACAACTCCATTTGGATGACAGCAACCATATTTTGAGAGTATCTCTTTTGTTATTTTATTAGAGGTGTTGTGAATACATGTTCCTAAAACTATAAAAAAATGCACATCCTTTCATATATTTTGTGTGCCTAAAGTGTACAATTTTCTACGTCAAAATACATTATTTTACGAAATGTGTGAAAAAAAAGTACACTTTTTTCACGGTTGTTGTAAGGCGATAGAATGAATGCTTGCGTGAAAGTTGAGTTGTTGATAGGCTTTTTGTTCAACTAACAAGTCTGTTCAAACAAAAATGACGCAAAACCGAAGTGTGTGGCTGCAAAATGGTCGTTTTCGCTAGCCTCACACCACACACTTCGGTTTTGCGTCATTTTTGTTCGAACATACTTGTTCGGTGAACAAAACAGCCCACCAACAACGCAGTCTACGGACTCCTTTACGGGATTCAGCAAGGCAGCAAGCGAACAAATCAAGGCGGCTGACTTCGTATATCGTATGGAGTGCCAGTGAGATAGAGATGGGAGCGGGAAAAACGCGCCACGATATCCTCGCGTATGTATGTATGATTTGGATTTGATCAGCATCGCTGAACGCGACCGGGATGAGCGATTTATTCAAATTTGGCTATTTCGTGTTTAGAAACCAGGTGCTATCAATAAAGTGACATGGAATGAGTAAATGTACTTGATAATAATTGCGAAATATCATTTAATCATTTATATCATAAGTTGAATGAGTTTGTCCTCTTTTTTGACAGTTGTAGGAGAAATATTGTATGTAACACGTGCGTTAAGTGTTTTTTTACTCATAATCCAGTAACTTTATACATCACAGTATGCGTCAAATCTTGTTCATGATGTTGACCTAATGAATAATCCAAGTTTGTGACCTTTAGCGCCGAACGCAACTTTGTCAAAAATCGAAAAAACTGCGAAAAAATCTTTTTTTTTTTTCAGTTTTTGGCGATTATAACCCTAGGACTAGTTTTTGGAAAAAAACTCTTTCAGAACGTTTTCAAAGTACACCAAGTTTGCAACAATATGATATAAAAACTGTTTCTGTAGACTCATTAGTTTCCGAAATTGAGCCTTTCAAAGTTTATAATTTTTTTCGAACTTCGCAATTTTTTGCAATCCTGTCGTTCTGATTGAATTTTGACCCTGATTATACAATCGAAGCCCTGTGCTTTCATGATGAGATGATAAGAAAGAAAATGAGGAGTGTGAACGAGGATGTTTGAAAGCTGAGCTACGAATAATGAAATAAAAAAGATAAGTATAACAAAAGTTAATGAGTTTATTTGTTAGGAAATAGAGTAATATTAAAGATTAATTTAGCCCTCTTGGAAGGTCCCGGTTGAAGTTCGTCTGGATCTGGATCAATATGATGTTAAAGGAAAAATGCGGGTAACGTGTATTGTGGTGGATAGTGGAAGCCGTGCAGATCGGGAAAATTTGCTTAGTTTATTCACATTCCTACTGTGATTCCGTGAAAAACTCTGTGCATTATCCACAGATAAAAGATCTATCAAGAATAAGAAGAGAAATGTGGATAGCAGCCATCAAGAGAAAGGATCTAACAACAGAATCAATCATGAGAAATCAAAGGATGTGTAGTAGGTACCTGAGAGAAAAGAGAAAACCAATACTTATTAAAAGTGATGGCCCTACAACCAGGCGCCATCTTGCCAGCTAAAAAGTCCCGTGGTTTAGATTTCCTAAAAAGTTTGAAAACGTGCTACAGGTGGGTCGCATTCGTGACTTCACACGAACAGTACTAGCACACTCCGTCGGAGGTAATTGAAACTTCATCCCGCTAGAGTATATTCGAGTGACGCCTAAAACATTGCAAAAATTTGCGAAGTTCGAAAAAAATTATAAACTTTGAAAGGCTTAATCTCGAAAACTATTGGGTCTACAGAGACAGTATCATATTGTAGCAAATTTGATCTGCTTTTAAAACGACCTGAGAGATTTTTTTTCAAAAACTAGTTCATCAGGGTTATAATCGCCAAAATTTGAAAAAATTACGATTTTTTCGCGGTTTTTTCGATTTTTGACAAAGTTGCGTTCGGTGCTCGAGGTCACAAACTTGGATCATTCATTAGGCAAGTCTGCAAAAAATCAGAACTACCGGATTTGACGCATACTACCCCCATATGTTCAGACGACAAATTTACTGGACTATCATAGGAATTGCTGCTCTCCGCCTTCGACGTCGTGCGTCAACATTTCCTACTCCTACAATTTTACGCACTTGTCACATAAATAACTATTTTGTCTTTCTATAATCTTCTGAGGAGTCTATTTTTGAGTTTTAAAAGCTATTTCAGAGATATTTCCAGAAATCAATAATGTACATCATCAAAACTCATTTTCATTGGGAATAGGATTACCAAGTGTTCAGAGTAAAATATCAAATTTTGTCACACCCTAGATAACAAAACCAAGAACAAATCCTAATATTTTCAAAGACAAAGTTTGTTCTTCATTCAACTATCATTTTAGATTTGTTTTTTTAAAACATAAAGCAAGATATTAATAGTTGCATACAACATTTTTTCTACGTTCATGCAAAAAGCAAAAAATGATTTATTGAGGTGCGGCACTAGGTTTAGGAAAATGAAAAACGCAACTTGAATACTTTATTATTAATATCGATTTACATTGTAATATGTTACGAACAATTTAACAACTTTATTTTTACCCTCAATATTGAAAGTGAATGAACAATTGGTGCAATTTTCAATATGAATATATGACGTTTCTATAACCACAGTTGCAATATAAAAAATGTTTGTCATGATGACAGCACGTTGAAGTAGTATGACAGATGAGTGCAATAAAAACTTTATTGCACTAAGTGCAATAAAGAACTTCTTTTTCCACTAAATATAGTTCAATAAAGTTCTGCTTTTTGCATGAATGTAGAAAAACAATATTTGAAAAGTGGCAGTATTTTGAGTAGCCAAATTACCTGCCTACCAAATTTCAATAACAATAAACAAACTATTTCAACAGAAATTGATGATGACCCATTATTTCAATGGAATTTTGATTCCCTATATTCTGTCAAAAACTTTTTGCAGTGAACTTATTCTTGAATAATTTAATTGATGGCTAAAAATTCAGGATATGGTTCCTTAACTCATTTTAAGAAGAAAAGTTGATATGAACATATGCCCTAAGCCTGAGCCTAAGTCTCTAAACTTTCAAGCTATAGGTTGTTAAAAATTTAAGAAAAAATTAGTTTTCTCATCATAACTCCAATACTGTTCAAGATATTCTCATGAAATTTGATATGCACCTACTTAGCACCAATAGGCACCATATTCATAGAACCATCATCAACATTTCTTTTTTAAATACGGTCCTGATAATTTGTTCACAGATTCTGAAAGCTTTTTTATTTTGAATTCAACCATGTATTATACAAGGTGGTTTGAATGTGTTTCGACCTATTTCTATCCATCATCAATGTTTTTTTGAAATTCAAAAGGAAAAATGCCATCAGTGCCACTTATTTCTGATCATTTAATGTCTAGAGAGAAACTATAAGAATACAACTTTCAAAATTTTCCAGAATATTGGGACAACAGTTCATGAAATAACCCAGTCAAATGATTATTTTGAGCAAAATTCCAAAGCTACTGAAAATAATTGATTTACAGCTTTTTTAGGACATGTAGAGAAAAAAAATTAAAAAATCACCAGAAACATGTATGCATTTTTTTGGTTTTCCCCTCGGTTTTCCCTTTGTACAATGTAGTTCTTGGTAGAATCATTTGGCTTTCAAAATTATGTCACTCTGCATCTTTTTAGACATCAGTAGACATTCAATAACCTATCATGGATTTTAATTTCATGTCAAAATTGTTTTCTTTTCTAGTTTACCTACAAAAAATCTACATATGTATGTTTCCATGTTACATTAAGATTAAGGTTTATTTGCAACAAAATATTAACTGTATCAATTGTATGTTCTATGATGTAAGTTTATTATTATTACATACATTATTACATATATTCCTTCTTGCTGGTCTTATAATACTCTTTCAGAGCCTGAAATATTGACAATGAAATTCTCTCTTTCTTCAGTTGTTACACAAATGTAGTCTTAATCAACCATCCTGAGTTTTTCAAGGTCAAAGTTGAAAACTTTTCAAAATTCCATGTAAATTTTCTTTAAATTTTGGGTGAATTCTGAGACTTTTTTATTCCAACTCGTTTTTTAGATAAAACATATCCAAAATAGGGTTAGTATAGCAATACAATTTTGTTGTTGTTAAAGGTATGACACTATTCTAGTAAATTTTAAAGGTTTATCTTCAATGAAACTTTAAACATAGCTTTTAACCAAAAGTTGATTGATTAGGGAGACGGCCAATCCAATATCCACTTTTTCCAATAATCCAACTCAATCTTCATGTCCCTTGAAGAGCATACCTCCTTAGATAATCTCCGAGTGTCATGGGCCAAAGGTATATTCCAATTTATTTTCACCAGTGACAAAAACAATTCACACACTAGCAATATTTGGAGCTACATGAAGATATGGACTAATATGGAGGTGATTATTCAGTTACTTCTATCAATTCTGGATTCTCCAGTTCCTGAATTGAATTATTTATGTCCAATGATATTCATAGAATACATCAGTATAGCATAGACAATCATGAATCAGATACAAAATAAAAGTATAAACAATCTATTATAGATCTACCTTTCAGCTAGTAAGTGCTACTTAATATAAGTGATAAATCATCACAATAATAATACCTCTCAAGGGTTTCCAATTTTTCCTTCAGCTCAACGAAACTATTGACAAGATTTGTATGCAGTACTTTATCATTCAGTTTGGTATTCCCGACGTATACTTCTATGTGCAAGTAATTGCTCAAGATGAGTTGTTTCTGCAAATTGGCAGGACCAGTATGATGAGGCAACTTTATTTCTATAAAAGCTATCCTATCACTAGATAGAACGATACACCAATTGTCCGGTTTTATATCTTTAGCAAATTTACACACTTCTTTGAAAGACCAACTTATTTCATTTAAATTTAAAATATCATTTTCTGACATCTTATTTACAGCAACATTTTACGGATATTGAGGTTATGTTGTAAGGTTTGTTCGCCTTCGCGTTCACAAAATACAGAAGTGTTCGTGTTTTCTCAGAACGTATTCCACAGATCACGTGTTTTCGTTTTATACGAACTAGTTTGGGAAAGTTTCGAATCGGTCCAAAGCAGTACGTGCCTCTAGGCAAAAACTGTCCATGACTGTCCTGACCTGAATAATCTTGGATGCGCATGCGTTTATGCAACAGATTGTCAACCTCTTAAGCGTTCTTATGTTGAGATACGTTGAGAGTAGGTTCGAGCTGGTTGAGAGATACACTTTATAATAAGATGTAGAATAGAACTATTGAAAAAAACCAGTCAAGATTATAATGGGCATATGAGTTCCAGCTCATCGTCCTATCTTCAAGTTCAGGTGATGACAAGCGTTTTAGAACATGTTATCTACTGAAAATCCTCAAGACCAATCTGGAGAATGGTGGTTTTTAAATGTCTGGTATATGTCTATGTGTATGAATATTTCAGTGGAGCAGTATTTTAGTAGTACAGATCCTGAATTTTGGGATTATTTCATGATAACATCAACATAACCCTAACCTGAATTTGCCATCGATTCACGTGAGTCGAGACCGTCAGCAATCGCAGAATGTTGAGTCGAAATATTCGGGATGAATAGTATGTCTAGATATTTAGCCGTCATTTTGTCTGCTCACAAGTATGTCACTTTCAGTGAATTTTTTCGATTTCGGAATGAAAAATCAGCAGATTCAGTAGTATCCATCCACAGGTGCATGTAGACGACAAAAGAATAAGTGGAAATAATATTCTGGCATGACAGCTTTCATATAATTAGACAAAACTGAAATACTTTTGACAATATTTTTCATTTTCCGAACACCTCTAGTAAGAAAATCACATAAAATTATACTTGTGGAAAATAAAGAAGAAAAAATTGACGGCTCAAAGACTTGAACGCGAGCCACCGCCTTGTCAGATACGTAGACCACTGAGCATGACTGAGCTCTTCTACGAAGTAGAAATATTTGGCTTGTTCATCACAACATGCAGCACAGCAGCATGCTACTAATTGAATTACTTGCGAGAGACATTTATGATTTTTTGGTGTTTTGTCTTTGTCACTTTGTCAGTTTGTCACTTACTCTATCACTCCACTCCAGTTTTACCCTTTTACCTGAATTTGAGGTTACCTCCTACACCAGATTATAAGAAGAATTAAAAACCTATTCCCAGGTAAATTATTATGATTTACGAATAATACTACTAAACAAAAGCATGTAAATTAATGTATAATAATTATTGTCCTGAATCATTTGATCTCAGCATTCAAGGTACAATGTGAGGTAGTATGGTGTGGTATTGGTATGCACAGATGTTTTTTCAAAAATACAAAATATGATTTCATGCTATTGCTTTGAAAAAAATACCCAGGTAACGATTTTTATTGGTAATAATATTTTCAGTGTCTGATTTGAAGGAAGATGAGTCGATTCTTTGCTGGTTCTGATTCGGATTCAGATAGTTCCTCTGAAGAGGAAGTTATTCAGCGCCCCCAGGTTCCTGCCTTCAGTGTAAGTACAGATTTGTTGTATGTATGTTATTTAATCATTGTAGGCTTTTCACTTTTAGTTCAGTGATGATGAAGAAGAAGTTAAACGTGTTGTGCGTTCAGCTAAAGAGAAGCGTTATGAAGAACTTACCAATATAATCAAGCAAATCAGAAATTACAAAAAGATCAAGGATATGTCATGCATGTTGAACAGTAAGTACATCATTTATCCAACAATACTATTCATTCAAATGGAACCTGAGAAATTGTAGTTACTCCAATCCACAAGAAATTTGACTCCTGCCTGAATTTTGAGAATAATTGAGGCATAAGTCCTCTCTAGTGGGTAAATTCAAATATTTTATGCCAATACGAAGAGTCAATAATCAAAATGTTTCACTGCAAATCAAGCTACAAATTAACTCCTAAACAATATGGTTTTATAGTAAACAAAAACTTCAAAGCTGCTCTACAATTTCACCAAATATCTAATAATTATAGGAAACTCATACATATTGGGGCAAAAGGATACATTTTTTGCTCATATCTCTAGTTATTTGAGTTTCCATGAAACACAGTGTCTCATTGATTTTTTAAATGAAAATCCTTGTTTAGGGATAAAAAAACCAAGTGGTCAATTTAAAAAAATGCTTATGGAATTTTTTTGTAGGAGCACTACCCTCTATAGCTTTTTAAAGAACAAAATCAATCTCTTGTAAGTTTTATTCACACATGGTGTCTCTAAAAGGTCTTCACAAAAACCTACCACATATTCCTCAGACCAAACAATTTGATTCAAGCAAACTCTATCTACTAGTGCTCAAACCCAAGCAAGTTTGTACTGTGGTAACTTTGCTTCTAATAAGCTGTTTTGGTCTGTCAATATGTGATGAGTTTTTGTAAAGACTTTTTGTGAATGAATCACAGTAAAATTCCTATCATAATGAAAATTCATATTTAAAAAAATACTTGTCATCTTGATGTTAACATTCAACATAATAGTCTATCCCTGCCTGTGTGAGATTCAATTTTCAACAGTAAAGCACTGAACAACATGCCACATACCAATGAAATACAATCACTAACCTGAACATTATTTTAATTTGTCAATTGTAAATAATACAAATTATTTTATAAAACTATCTGACAAAATCTGATATGAAGGTCACTGATTAGTGATGAGTAACTTGAATCTCTACCCTAATGGCTAATTAGTTACATCACCCTTCTAACTATTTGATTCTCAAAAGAGTATGTTTTTATCTATGATTAATGAATTGATAATTGATGATATCAAAAGTATCAGTTTCACTTCATCCCACCTGACCTGAGCCAACCCCCCCTCCCGTATATTGCAGTTTTTAATTTGTCATTAGATTTTTACCAAATTTGGACTGGCATGAATAACCATCAATATGATCAGTTTTTCAGAGACAAACATTATTTTGGACAGTGCCGTGCGTTTTTATTGAAATAAAAAGGGGTACATTTTTCATGTAATCATATTAGGATTTTTTTTTACAGAAATACTGACCTCATAATATTGTTCTATATGATTCATATGAAGGGTTTCAATAAACAGGCACATCTAAACTGCATTTTTGCAGGGGTAAATAATTATTTACTGGGAACCGGTGAGTTCAACAAAGAAAGAATATGTTGTTTTTTCTTTTAAATCATGATTTTCTACCTACTGGAGCTATTGAGTGTTCAAAAATTTGCAGTTAATTTCAAATCACTATTTTTCCCAGGTAGAAAAATATAGCCAATCCTGATTAATCCCAGTGAGGTGATTTTTGAATATGGAGGTTTGAAATCATGAGAAACAATATTTGATGTTAGTTTTCCTGCAAAACATGCCCTAATATGATTTCATTAAAATTGACCCATTTTCAATTCAATAAAAACGCACGGCACTGGCCAAATTAATGTTGGTCTCTGAAAAACTAATAGCTAATATTTAGAGGGGGGGGGCAGTGCCGGATTTATACTCCCTTACGCCGGGGGCTAACTTTTACGATGCCGCCGCGCGACCGCCAAATATTTAATTTTCAATTGTCAGATTCAAAGTTCAAATAATCCTTTCACTGCTTCTTTTACAGCATGTAACAATAACATGAAATCATCATGCAACGAATCAAATTATGTTTTTCTACAAACGTCAAAAAATGACAAGGTTCGCGCATTGATAACAAATTGCGAAGTGACACTTTTTTTCAGTTTCCTACGTTACCATGATTCCTTGCACAAAACAATGCGCGAAGTAAAACAGTGCGCGAAGTACCTACTTCGCGCATTGTTATGTAAAATAAATGAGATATTTATATTTCAACTTTATAGTCCTCAATCCAGCAGACATCCACAAAATCATTTATCTCTGAATGTTCAACAATAACTTTGTTTTTTCTCTTGGAGCGCACGAAATGAAATTCCTATTATGTCCGTGGAACATCGTGCGTACCTAGGAAGGATAGGGGGAGACCTATCAAGCCAGTTCAACACTATTTTTTATATCAAGTTAAGCATATTTTTACTTTAGAACTATATTTTTTGACGTTTGTAGAAAAAATTTTGTTTGCAACTCGAGCTCGAAATACTTTGGTCATCTCGACTATTTTTTTAACTCGGCTACGCCTCGTTAAAAAAATCAGATCTCGATCACCAAAGTAGCATTTCGCGCTCTAGATACAAAAATAACTATTACTTCACAAGTTGAACATAACAACAAACGACAAAGATTTTTATCAGATGAATACTAAAATACCTATGTATAACATGTCACTGTTGATACTCAAAATTGATAGGATATTCAATATATCCTCCTATGGAATTCCTAAGGTAGTTTTTCACTCTTTTTAAAGTTTAGAACGACCTTTCACCACTGGCATTACTAATCATTAGGGATAGTAAAAAAATTCTCAGTAATTGCCAATATTCAATGAATAAGGAATTGGTTGTGATTATCCCTAAAACAACGCCTAGTCGTGTTCATATTTTGATCATCTATTTTTGAGATTCTAACTCTTCTTTTTCGCGTATTGAATATAAAAGAATATAAAACATACCATTCCCGTCTTGAGATCGTGAAATTCCCGAAGACGGTTCTGTCGGTTCTGATTCTGTCTCAATTGAATTTAGGAAAAACGAATGTATTTTAGGGCATTTCTTGACAATTTCGTCTAACTGCTTTTGTTAATTGATCTTCTACCGTTTCCAGAATGCACCACCTTCTTTTTTACTCATTTTCTTAAATTTCAGTTCCAATATTTATTTATTATTATTAGTACCATTACCAACAATACCAACGACAACCTATTGAATACTGAACTCTGATTTTGTATTTTGTTATTGAGTTAGACGAATCACGAAATTACCTCTAACTCTACTGAGTAAAATGCGGTTTTTCTTCACATCATCAAATAAAAGTATGTACCGCCGCCGCTTTAGTAATTGTAGCGTCCAAGACACAGCTGACGCTAGATTAGTGCATGTTATGATTTTCACAAAAACAGTATCTCAACCAGTCAACGACTGTATTGCTGCTTGCTTTTCCTCTTTTCTCTTTTCCTCTACCGCCTCTTGAAATTCACCGCCGGGGGCTGATAGTCCCATAGCCCCCCCCCTAAATCCGGCACTGGGGGGGGGGCGTATAAAGTGAGACACACTGTATGTAGGGATGAATTTAATTTATGTACAGAGTTATCCATGAAACAGGTCCACCCCTATATTCACGTTATTTTCCACCGAGAAAAAAATAATAAGTATTTGAGTTATGGCGGATTTATGCAACATTTGCATAGTCCTAGTCTTAGTTCTAAGCATAGTCTTAGTATCAATTTTTGTCTTAAAGATTTGAGGTATTTATCCAGAAACATTAAACTTGATTTGAGCATAAGAGTAATGTGAGAATTTGTGGTTCTTTTTGTATCAGAGATGAGGAAAATTATCTATCAAACTTATCAACATCTGAGCTTTCTCATAATATCATTTTCTGAACATGTAAACATTAAATCATCAACAATTCTATCAAAGGAGCATGCGCCGAATCCAAATAACATAAGCATAAGGATAAAAGTACAAATTAATCAACTTTCGAGGTCATTTCTTAGGCTTGTGCTTATGCATAAGACTAAAATTGGTGTGTAAACGGCCTCATGGAAATACCTTGTTTTAACTTCTAGTTATGCTTTAAATTATGACTAGGACTATGATTAGGACTATGCAAATGTTGCATAAATTGCCTAATCAGAAGTTATTATTTTCTACAATCTACAGTATTCTTGTTCAGAATATTTGTTTTGTTTATTGTGGGTGCACTCCTTGGCCTATTCTCACTTTTTTATAAGAATATTTCAACCTCAATTCCAACCCAACCCTTCTCAGTATAACTAAATCAAAAATAAAGATTAGCTATCTTCAAAATTAATGCAAATACTTTCCAAACTGATCAATTTCCTATAGTTTGCAACACATTTAAGGAGTGAATGTGATAGAGTGACTAGTCAGGAAAATATCTAAAGTGGGGAATATGCTCTTTGAATTTTGTACCCAGTGGCATAATCAAAATTCATCCCGGGGGGGTCTAGGTCCAATATCCAATATTTAGGAGGAAAAAAGCAAGTTGTAACTTGAGTTGGTTTTAATATATGTGTTCATTATTTGGTCACAATAACTAAATAAAGAAAAAAGTATTGAAAACTGAATAAAATAATATCACATATCAACAGGTACAAATATTGAAATAACAAAAAAAAACAAAATAACGAAAATTCAAAATTTTACCAAGTAATTGTTGCAAATATCGCCTGACTCTCTGTCTGTGATGTAACCAGGTATCTGCCTCTGAGAGAATTACCTAATACATACCGGGTGATTTTCCACCCCTATAACCTTTTTATTATTGAAGGTAATAAATCGAAATTTGGGGGTTCTGAATTATAGTTGAATTTCCCTCTTTTGACATATCTACTTGCTTTGGCGTCCTTCCGGTTTGACCGGAAATGACCCCAACTGTATCTGCCTCTGAGAGATTCACCTAATACCCACCCGGTGATTTTCCACCTCTATAACTTTTTAATTATTGAAGGTAATAAATCGAGATTTGGGGGTTGTTAATTATAGTTGAATTTCCCTTTTTTGACATATTATTATCTACTTGCTTTGGCATACTTCCGGTTTGACCGGAAATGACCCCAACTTTCGATTTTTAAATG